GGCAGCACCCAGTCCACGAAGACACCTTTGGCGAGCTCTCTCTCCGCTGGGACCCCGAACGTGACGGCTCGTCAGACTCGGACTCGAACCACCTCTCCAGAGCCCCGGTCCTCCCAGACTGCTCCAACCGCGCGGAGGAAGAAGGTGGCGAGCCAATCCCACAAATGATGGACATTGGTGCCCTGATCGACTGGCGAGTGAGCCCCAGGGAGATGAGATACCAAGGGAAAAACCCCGGCGGGAACGGGAGAAAGAAGCTCTACCCTGATTTCGTGACGTACAACATCCGCCATCGACATGTCCTCCGCTGGGAGGTTGGTTTAACCATGGCCAAGGAGACGTTCAAGGTTGTGCATGAGGATGCGGTCGAGGTTGTTTCTTCTTGTTCTTGGAGTTGAGGCGATGGGTATTTGGCGTTTTCTTGTTGTTATGGTGATGCTTCCTGGCGGTGTGGGGTTGTCTGGATCCATCGTATGTGCTTGATTTCATTTTGCTCGCTAGGATACCCCGTTTGACTTGAGATCGGAAAGACTTTTTTTGTTTAATATCTTCAATACGTCTCAACTATTGTATTGTTCTGACAAAAGAACTGGGCAGTTGACTCCTTGGTGACATGGGATATATTCACAACCAGCTACCATGAACAAAAGGGAACCACAAGTAAATCCGTGACCGAATGAGTTCGGATGATGGGTATCAATATCACCAATATCTCGTTCCTGTCCCTGCTGAAACAAATGAAGGTGAGAGTCTGATAATGTAAATGATGGAAAATGCCATAGATCGGTAAGATCATAATGGTCCAGAAGTCGGGTATATGATGTGGATGAATATATATACACAAGGCGAATGGGAACGGGCACCGTCGATGAAGTCGCTAGGGCTATGGTTGCGCGAACGACGGTTCCGGTGTCAGCAGCATGCCCCGAGGGGGAGCCCTGGTCATTCTAGGTGGGGGCGGCTGTGGGAGCGAAGGTTCCTGCGTCGGGAGCATTCCTTGAACCATAGGGACTGCATTCCTGAAACCGGCCACCTGACAAGCCCTGGTAAATTCTCTCAACAGATCCTACACAAGCCAGATAGTCAGCACATATCCCAGAGAGAGAAATCCACAATTGACAGAGCAAGGAAACTCACATCAAAGTCATAGCTCGCAAGCGAGCGGAACACAGCCTTCTTTGACAGCTTCTCCCTGATGATTCTCGGACTGCTCATCCCAAACCCAACCCGCGTGAGGAACCGGGGATCATCGCGAATCGGCGTGGCCCTCAAGACCCCTCTTATCGTCGCAGCCTTTACCGGACCCACGTCAGGTTTCCGGGGCATCTGGATTGGCCTCCCCTTGACACAAAATATGCAGTGTCCACAACTGTCTTTCTTGTCGGGAAGTCCCATGCCAAAATGGTCTGCCAGGGCGACGGCAAAGCATCTAGCCCCAGTGATGAGGTCCATGACCTGCTGGTTACGGGTGAGGGAATCTTGCTCCTTGGCCAGCTGATTCGCGTATACCTTGTCGATGACCTCGTCAATCTCTTCTTGAGTCTGTGGAAGCTGCTTGACGATAAAATATCGCTGCTCGATACCATACTTAAGGATATCGATGGAACCCTTGTCTTGCCAAACGTCCAACGTCTTCATGATTTCGAGCGTGCTCGCACCAGAGAGACGTGCGGCACGCTTGAAATCAAGCTCAAGATCATTGCCGTCCTTTACTGCGTATTCCTTGATCGCCTTGACCTCCGGGGTGCAGTGACCTGTAAACAGAGTTGCATAGCTTGGCTCTGGAGTGAACCTGTAATTTGAATACTCTGGGGTAGTAGCTCGTAGTAGTTCAAAGGTCAGCTCCAGAGTGGCGTATATAACCGCCATCGTATTCTGTTGGATGTCAAACCGTTTGCCTTGGGAGAAGTGGCTGACATTGACGATGGCCCCAACTGGTAGTCCATTTGTGCGACGCAGAATATCCTCGACTAGTAACTTGATCGAATGCCGAGATGCTACATCACCACGAGCGAAGAGTTGGCGGAGGTGGAAAGCTGAAGGTGCGAGGTAAAACATGCAGCAGCTAGGTTGACCATCTCTGCCAGCGCGTCCAATCTGTTGACTATACTCCTCGATCGAGTTTGAAAGGTCCCAGTGGACGACGTTTCGGATGTCTGGTTTATCGATTCCCATTCCGAAAGCGATGGTTGCGCAGACCTTTCATTCCGAAAATGTGGTTAGCGACTGAGGATTTGGAGTTGTACACTGCATATCCAAGCAATGTTGGGTCACTCACAACTTCGATAGCGCCCGACATGAAGCCTTCCTGGACTTCCTTCTTCTTCTCCGTCTTTAGTTTTGCATGGAACGGGGCGGCTCTGAAGCCTTTTCTGACAAGGTACTTTGCGTGAGCCTCGGCTTGTTCTCGAACCGCCACGTAGATGAGGGTAGGGCCTGGGTGTGTATTTAACCAGCAAACCAATTCCTGAAATCTCCGCTCTGTTTCAGGATCCTCACAACCGGAAATCATGTTCATGTAATCTTTTACCGAATCAACCGCAGGAGTATTGATTGTCATCGCATCTAGATAAAGGCTGAGCATTTGAGTGCCCTGGTTAGCAGAAAGATAGAAAAGCCCCAAAAGGAACATCTTGCAAGCTCTCACTGACTTTGGGCGGTATGGAGATGTCTTGAATATACAGGACTCTTTGATACCAAAGGCTTCGGCAATATCAATGGCAACCCTTGGCGTGGCTGTTGCGGTGAGAGCAATGACACGCTCGGCATTGATCTCTTTGACGAACCGGGCAACTGCAAGGAATAGTGATCAGCATGGGATATCGAGAGGAGCAACTTGTCGACGTTGAGGATTACCAACCTTTCAAGTAATCTGGTCGGAAAGAGTGGCCCCACTCAGAGACACAATGTGCCTCATCCACGGCTAGGAGCCTGATGCCACCCCGAACGGCCTTGAGATTCTCCAAAAAGAGCTCATTATTCAATCTCTCAGGAGCCACATACAGAAGGTCCAGTTGAGATTTGCGCAACCGGGCGTACACGCTTTGCTGGCCGGCCCATGGTTTGGACGAGTCCAAGCTCTCGGCCGCTATGCCCCGTCTCACCATAGATTCCACTTGATCCTTCATGAGGGCTAGCAGCGGTGACACGACGAGCGTGATGCCCGTGAGGTCGGGCGGTCGCGTATTCTCGATCCTGTCCAGTTCGGGAAAGGCGATGGCAGGGATCTGAAAATGAGTTTCAGCTTCATTCTGTCTCCAAGATTCATTCTAGAAGGAATGGCGTTGGGGACCATACCTGGTAACAAAGTGATTTTCCCGCACCAGTCGGGAAGATCACGAGCGCATTCTCGCCCCCGAGGATGGTCTGAATTGCGCCGGCTTGCTCGTGCCGAAAGGACTTGTAGCCGAAATTTTCTTTCAGGAGGCGTTCTGCCAGCTCAAGATGACCTGGATTGCGAAAAGGCAGACTTGGTAATGAAACGTCATCATCCAGATCTTCCGTTTTGACATGTGGCGTGAGTGTTGGATTTTGCCCTTCCGTTTTGCATCGTTTAGCTGGTCGCTCAAGTTCCAGGAACTCCGACTCGTCCACATCATCGAAAACCTCGTCATCCGAGTAGCACTCGAGATCGGCGAGCGTGGCTTCGTCCAGGTTTTCGAACACGTCGTCATCTGTGTAGAACTCGTCCATCTTGTAGGTTCCGCCACGGAGTTGAGTTTTCGGAAAGGTGCATATAACAGAAACTAGAACTGAGTGCGTCAATCCTCACTCTTGCTGAACGGCATGCGCGTGATGAACTGAGACTGAGATTGAGGAGGTGATCGCGTCAGTGTCGCTACAGTGGAAAAAAAGGCTTGGTAATGATTGGCCACTAATTCCAAAGCAGGGGATGATCCACACTGTGCACGGGTTCAGCAGCACTGTGCACTAACACTTGAAAACAGAATCGAGTACGGATAAAGGCTGCAGCATGCTACAGAAAGAAGGAGAGTGTTCAAAGTGGGGAGATTCGGAACCATGAAAGAGGAATGGAAACGTTGACTCGAGACATCAGAATGTGCTGCAGGAGGTTCTGGCAGGTGTGACCAGTGACCGCTCTGAGGAAGAGGAAACCGAGGGTTTGAAAGCAGGGTGTGATGTCTCTGCGGAAAATCAAGCATGGAGATGGGATGATGCCGACAACCGGTCAGAATAAGTTTCAGAAGCCTTGGTTCTCACCTGCACCTTCCATGCTCACCATAAGGTGGACCAACAACCGGGAGGGGGAGGGGGGGTAGGTAAATGGACTCAAGAATTGTGTACCGTATTACGATTTCTTCTCCACAGTGAGTTCTCTCGCTCGACATTGCTAAGTACATTACGTTCACACCTTTTAGCAAATACATGAGAGTTGCTTACCTTGAATGTTATTTTGCAGTGACGTGACACCGTCAAGGGACGGGGGAGAGCTGAGATGCTGGGAACTTGAAATTTGAGCCAGAAATCAACGGTCATCCTGCACCTTATGCCAGATTCCTGAATCGTGTGAAGGAAGCTCACCGGCCGGTATCACTGAATGCAACTTAAGAGCCCCTAGATATAATAGAACTTTGATTGAGCCGGTGCGGGTATGGTGAGAGCCCCGTTCTTCATCTGTAGAAACTGCCAGGAACATCGAAATGATTACCAGTGCAAAAAGTGCAGTGATAGGTTGGGTATTTTTGAACGGTCACTGTTCGCGCTGTATGCTGGTTATGGCGCTGGACAATGACCTGCGGAATGAGATATAAAACTGTTGCAGATAGATGAGTGCATACCGAATGCACAGCTTGACAACGCAAAGAGAATTATGGCAAGATACGAATACAAGTCTGCGTTGCAGTGTTACGGAAGGGAAGACACCTATCGTCTTCGTGATTGCCTTCCTCCCCTCCAAAGTGCGAGAGTCTGTCTGCCTTCAAGATGGCGATAAAATGGGATGGTTGGAAGCTGCACGGGAAGGCAAAAAAAGGAAAGTTTGGTCATGGTAGGAGTCGAACCTACAGCCTTTGCAAGTTGGGTTTGGAGGACACCTTCCCAGCATCGCTCATGGGATACATGGATCCAGTGCCCTCCGCGCCCGTAAACCAAACGAACCCCTTTTCAGGTCGCCGGCTACTTCACTTGCAACGCTCTACCGCTGAGCTACATGACCATGTCTCTGTGAATTTGTTGAGAAGGAGGCCAGTTCCAGTGGTTTATCCGTCCCGTCTGCCCTGTTACCGAGGGGATGGGTAGCAGGGGTGAGCACCGTGGGGGAGACGACCCCTTCTTATGGTGCGGCTTCTGGGGTGGGGATTGGCCAAGTCGTGCTGAAGCTCGCTGCTGCTCTTGTTTGGTCTGGACTCTCGAGTCCCTAAGGTGGAGGTGCCCTGACAGCCACTTTGAGCTCTTCCGGACACCCCGAAGCCAGGTATTCGCTTCGGAAGAATTCGATTCCAGCTGTTGGCCTGGTTGAAATTTCCACAAAAGCAGCAATCGTCGCTGTACGTCACGACGTTTGGCAGCCTTCACAACCCATGCTTGTTGCAGTCTTTTAATATCCAATCATTTAACTAGCATCGTTCTCTTGCTAGATCCGTTTTACCGGAAAAAGAACCAACAACAAAATCACCGAGCAGGAGTGATGCTCTGCAAGACGAGCAAGTCGAAAGAACACCAACGGTACCCTGTTTCACTTACCAACTTTCCTTTATCCCGATCTTAGACCTTCGATACCGTAACTGCGTTATTCCACTGCATGCGAAACCTTTCCAGTCAAGCATGGGGAAGTCTAGTCAAAGTCTACATCGTATGGGCCCCGGAATTTGAGCTTGGGCGGTGGAGGAGGAGGCGCGTGGCTGTTGATCTGCTTCCTGATACCCGCTGCTAGAACCACCGTATGCCTGGCTAAAACCACCGTCTTGGCCTTTAAGGCATTTATTCGAGCTAGTCAAGGTATTCATTCAAGCCAGTTAAAGCAGTTCCTCCAGCTAGTCGAGACATGTATTCTAATTAGGTACTTGTAAATTTACTATGTTATTGACCTGGGACACCATATTGAAGGTCAAGACAGTGGGTTTAGCCAGGGAGACGGTGGTTCTAGCGGTCGCGTTCCTGATACAGGATCAACCGCAACAGCTGGTGACGCAAACGAAGCCATCCTCAATGAGAAGCCCTTTTAACCTACCAAAGGTTCTCAACTCAAAACTTTTTGCATGAACTGTCTCCCGCAGAGCGGCAAGCTTTCCACCAAGTGGCAAAGCTTGTATAAACTTTGGTGGCAAATGAGGAACAGCATACATGTAGAAATATGGTTCAGGTATTGCAAAAAAAAGTCAAACTACAATAAGGATGATCCGCACAGCTATATATAGTAATAGTCTAAATTTCTACATCACGAACCTCTTCTCTCACTCTACCATCAAGAACAGCTACCTACGGGTCCGACAGCCACGGAACACACTCTCCCATGCAGCACGCCTCTCGAACTCCATGGAGAATCGAAACAGAATGACACCAATTCGCGACACGACTATTGACCCGAAAGGGGACTTGTGGGTATCCTTGGCCTACCGGTACTATGAACCCGAGCCAGACACAAGGTCATCAGCAGACCCACCGACCTCCCCAGAAGAACCGGAAACCTTCGATAGTCTCTCTCAGGCTGAGACGGAGGAAACAACCAAGGTCCTGGTCAAGGTGTCTTCCAATGTCCTTATCCAGGCATCTCCCGTGTTCAACATCATGCTCACAGGATGGGCGAAAGAAGCCTCCGACTTTGCATCGGCCAAGGCCGCAGGAGAGATATACACCCTGGACCTACCAGAGGATGACGCCGTGGCAGGAATCCTGCTCTTCGATTGCCTGCACCACGGTCAGTTTGGGCTTCGAGCCCCAAACGACAGACGTCTCACACCACCTACAGATGACCTCGAGGAGCTGGCGATCATGTGCGACAAGTATAAATGCAAATTGGGGCCCCGCGGTCTCGATTGGATACAAACTAAATTCGATGATCTGACTGATCCTGTCCGTAGAGGCAGGATCTACCCATCAACAAACAAAACCGAAATGGACCAAGATATCCAGGCACTGTCGAGACTCCTGGTCTTGTCCTACGTTTTTGAGCACCCTGAAATGTTCAGCAAACTGGCTTGGGAGCTATTCCTGTGGTATGATGAGCCTTTGGGCACGGAGAACGGACCGACCGAACTGCTCAGGGAGCATCTGCTGTTTGGTGCAGACAACGTCGTCGGATATCTCAACCAACGACGCCATGACATCTACCGCAATGTACTGGTTTATATTTCCTCCCGGGTGGGGGGCTACGCGAACCCCGGCGTCTGGCCAACGGACGGTCCGCACCCGAGTGTGGCGACAATCGCTGAGCTTTCCAAGTACAATGACCCAGAAGATATACCACCCTCACCCTCGGGCTTATCTTTCCGGTATTTGCCCGGCGAGGGCGACCCCGTGGCCGAGGAACAGTCCTTAGCCATATTCAGTCAGAGATCCGGCCTTCGTCCCTTTATTGCTATATCTTCTCTCCATCGGTTCTTGAACTTCTTGGGCAAATTGAATTGCCCCCAGACTCTGGAGCGGAGACTCAAGATGAAGTTGAAGCACGTTGCGGAGAGAATTGAAACCAGGCGAGTGAATTTTGGGTGTTTGCATTGCCTCAAGACGGGAATGGTGTGCAGCCGTCATCTACCCGATATTGATGTCTTTTATGAGATCTCTCTTTTATAGAGTGCTGCTATTAGAACGTTGCCTAACTACTAGTAGGATAATGTATTCCCACCTATAACCCTAACCCTGTACATTCTATACAGGCCTACACTTAAAAAAAAGTACATCTACTCTAGGAACCCCTAGGTTACTAACTATCTAAAGACATCTTTCTTTATATATTAATAACGTACATGATAAGCCAGTCGCGCAAACAAGCGAGTCGCGCGCTTCCTACCACCCTATTAAATTTATCCTCAATTCCACAACCACAACACTAGGAGATAACTATTACTGAATTAGAAATAGATGAATCTGACGATTCTGCATCCTCCTCACATGTGCGTGCATTATGACCAGGCTTGCCACATACGCCACAGCATCGAATCCTCGTACGAGACCCCCCTTCACCACCATCATTTTGTCGTATTTCCTGAGCTACCCGCTCACCCACAGCCTTCTGATCTAGTAGATCGTATGCCTCTTGTACAGTAAGTGATCCTCCAAGCTGTACACGTGTTTTTTTTTTTGGCTCTCCGTCTCTTACTAAATGCCTCATTAGCCTTCCGTAGTGCCGAGACCTCCGTACGCAAAAGGGCGACCTCGTGCATTACCGCCATTGTACCTTTAGTTAATCGGTCCACAGCAGTTAATATAGATGTTAGAGAGCTACTTTGGTGGTTGGCTATTCGAGTTTTGATAAGCTCTGATTGTGAAGTGGCTTCTCGAGGGTTATATGGGGTTTGAGAGAGCCAAGGTAGTGCTATGTCTGGGCTTGAGGCTGCGGGTGATGGGGTCCGAATGTGCACATCTAGCTCAGATATTACCCTCTCTGGGTCGTATGGTACTAGGCCGGCCCCGGCAAAACCTCCTTGGATACTTTCTTCTGTAAAGGAGGCCAAAAAAGCATTCCTAAACGAACAAAGAAACTCCAACTTGCTAATATGCGTAATACGCATACGCATAAGCTCCTCAATTTCCTTGCTATACGCCTTCTTCAACGGCCCAAAGCAACCAACATCTAATGGCTGAAGTTTGTGTGAGGAGTGCGGAGGCATGCAGAGTGTAATAATGTTGTGATTCTGGCAGTAAGTCTCGAATTCCTCGGAGTGGTGACTCTCGTGGCCATCAAGAATTAACAGCCGATATATTCCCTTCGTACGAGATGCTGTATGGAGATCAAAATGCCGAATCCAATCCATGCCTTTCTCATTGGTAGTCCAGCCATTGTCGGTTGTTGCAATGCGTCAGGTGGCCGGGAGGTTGCACTCTCGATACCAGTTAGAGAGGTGATATTGCCCAGCCTAACGCGTTTACTCTCTGGATAACTGTTCCCCACTCGCGATTGCCAGGCTGGGCCTGTTTGGCCCTGCCACGGCCATCTGAGGTAGTAACTACCATAGTAGGGATAATAATGCCCATCATAAAGCCGGTCTCGTCAAAGTTATACGAATCGTCGTCGAGGATACCATATTTGACCTTAGTATTAGATATAAGGGTAAACCACTCGCGGAATACTTTTGGATCTTCGCATTTGGCCCTTTGGTAATCGTACTTACGCGTAAATTGCGTACGAAGTTCCGGTTGGCGTTTGACGAAGTTGTGAGCCCAACGGATGCCGACAGGAGGCGCGTCTCGTTCGCGAAGCAGTCGATTGGCCATATCTTCCACGTACGAAAGCCGGGGATGGAATGCGCGTGCACATAGCTCTGTTATGTACTGAACAATCGTTTTCTCTTCCAAATCCGTAAGTTTGCGTGAGTTGGCTGGTATATCGCGTCGTGTAGGCCGACCGTCGCGTCGGTTGCGAAGAGTTGAAGGTGGTACGTTATAATGGCGACTTGCAGCTGCGATACTAAGTTTCTCGTCATTTTTGATAGCTTGAAGAGCAAGGAGTATTCTGGCCTCTTTGGAAGGATTTTCCATTGCTGGTTGTGGTAGAATTTGCTGTAGAGGTGGGAGGTGCGTGTTGCGTTGAAAAGCGCGCGACTCGCTTAATATCATGCACGTTATATGAAATTTGGATGGAAAACCGGATCTAATTGTATCACCTTGGCATCTACCTCGATATTTCTAGTATGTTTCTTCAACTCTCCAGCAGTAATACCGCAGAAGTATCTTGTACGGGTATGAGACTTCGTGTCAAGACGTAGAAGACCACAAAGTGGCAATGCCAATAACCTCGGACAAGAGAGGGCCAGGGTTTGATATAGTGAATCGGGACATTAAAGCATCAAGACTACCTTGCCTTTGATCACTTTTTTAACCTCGTCACCTGGTCTTCTTTTCCCATACCGGCCTTATCTTGGTTCACTTCGTCTTGTTAAGAATCCTGGTCTTGACATCTAAAACCTGTCCTATCCAGCTACTGACTTCTACGCTCCGCCTCCTGAAGGCCAAACATCAGGACAACCAATAAGCGCACCTTCTTTTGAAAAGCATGTT